ATAGAAAGAAAGGAAACTTAGATTAGAATATATTAGAGTAGAAAAGAATTGAATAGAATAGAACATAAAAGAACATAGTGGAACATGATAGACCAGAATCAATAGCATATATTCGCATAGCATAGCATAGAAGAGGACAGATTAGATAGTTATTCCATCAAGGAAGAAACTTCAAGTATATATATATAACGATTCTAGATGCATGTATTTACAGAGACAAAATCTATTTACAAATACATGCATGCATATTATACAACTACATATATCATATATATATATTGTCCAGAACATGTCCTTGGAATTATCATTGCCTTAGAACTCAGTTCCATTCAACTATAGACTTCTGCCATCTAGCACTCAGGACAGGACAAAAAGTAGCTAGTCAGCTGAACAGGCAGTGTCCCGAACAGGGACGGTTTTTTGTGCAAAACATGTAGCTAGTATATATAGGGTGTATGCATGTGCCTGGTGTTGGCAACAAGTGCGTGCAATTGCAAGAGGTTGTGAATGTAGTTCTACCACCCCGTATCGCAGCAGTTGTAACAAACCCATACGTCTCTTCTCTATGAGTAAAGGGTTCGCTATGAATCCAGGGAGGTCAGTAGAACTTCTGCGCTTTGACAGGATCTTCCTCCCTTGATGGAGGCATTGGCCGAGAGGGCACGTTGGGTTGGAAGAACTCAACAAAAAGGGTTGGGAATATATGTGTGTGTGTGTCTTACTGTTGTGCTGTACATAGGGGTGAGAAGCACATAGGTTGGAAACATAGGCAACGCAAGGGAAAGGTATACCATGTGTTTGCGCCGAGCAAGGTGAGGGAGCTCATGTCGCCCTTAAGGATTCACAGGGCGGCTCTACTGTAGGAGCGTCTGGACCGGGATCAACTCCAGATTCACTTCCTGGTGAAGAACTACGATGCAACATGATGCATTTTTCTCTAATTCTTCATGATGTTCATTCCCCACCGTCAGAGTTCCCTGCCCATCTCTTTCCCCAGACATCCAACGTGGAAATTCATGTGGACCGGTCTCAGATGGTCTCTTTACGGGCATCCCGTATAGACCTCTCCGTGCAGGTGTGGGTGCTGCCGGGTTGATCCGAAGCTCCATGGAACGCTTGTTGAGGTGAGCTGGGTCGATTGGAAGCGACTAGGAGCAAAGGGCATCGCTACTAGTAGCAAGAACGCTACTAGTACCTCCTGGCATTACTACTAGTAGCATTCTTGCTACAAGTAACAAGAAGCTTCTGGGCGCTCCTGGCCTTACTACTAGTAGTAAGAACGCTACTAGTAGCTCCTGGGCTTACTACTAGGAACAAGAAGCGACTAATTTGTCGACTGGGTGAAAGGTGAACAGAGCCAGGTGATCCAGGTGCCATGGCTTTGAAGCACTCAATCTTTTGTCAGTGGCTCGACGATGGCGGGTCATGCTTTGGGGGGGGTGTCACGTACATTTGTTCCCAAGGAAGGAGCCTTGAAGCTGGAGCTTGTCCAGGGCACGTACTGTCGAATTTGTCCTGTTCTAGTTCCTGTACTCTATCCCATGTTTAGTGTCGACACTCGTTGGGTGTGGCTTCACGAGGAGTTGAGCCATGGAATCCCCACACACACATGTTTCTTTATCTTTGTTTAGCGGATTAAGGTTTCAACATCATCCGAAAAGAGTATAAGAGTTGAGCCTGCAAAAACTCTCTCCCCCAAGCTTGGATTATTAAGCAGACATCCTCAACCACCTTTTCACAGACGGGTTCTCTTTGGTCTCGGTGCTTTTGCTACAAGGAACAAGGACGCTACGAACGGGGCTCCTGGCATCGCTACTAGCTACTAGGGGCTCCGGTGCTTTTGCAGGTGTCCCACCTGGCTCCTCTTTCTGCGGCAGCTCCGCCGCGTGGCCCGAGACCCGGTCGGATCTCATCTCGGTGAGTTGGGTCAGTCGGGTGTGTCCCGGTAAAGACCAGGTAGAAACCTGCCGGTCAAAAAGGGGCAGTCAGAGAATAAGTCACAATGTTTTTTTTGGGGGGAGTGAGGTTTCTGAAACTCGGGCCCTCAGAGTGGGAGATACCCAAAAGATATGTGTGCGATGAACCTGGTCTGTAGCTTGCCGTATGAAAATGTGTCGATGGCTGAAGAGTCAATAGCCCAACAGTCTACTAAGTCCTACAAATAGGGCCATTCCAGAACTTAGGACTTGAATATGAATTTGTTTCATTCTTTCGATCTGAGTAAAAAGACTGTTATATCTCCATGCGGGCATGTGTTCCAGCATGGTTTTAAGCAAGAGCTCCGTCAGATGGACCATTCTTCTTGGACTCACCAAGCGAAGAACACGAGTCTCCGGCCGGTGGATGGGGCGAGACTGGACACGGGGTCACCACACCTCCAATGGTCGGGTCCAGGAACCTCGAGACCTGAAGCTCAGAGTCTGGATTTGGATACCAACATGTAGCAAGTGGAGGGTCCGTGAGGTTGTGGAGATATGTTTTATGGGTGTTGCAGTGTTGCATTATGTTGCCGCTTGGGGTTTGTTACACAGCTGAGGACCGAACGGTGACCGAACTCAGATGGGGCCACGGGGGTAGTGAGACCTCCGATATCCAACGACTGCAATGATCAAAATCGAATGGAGAATGTTTGACCACCGGTGCCAGACCCACAAAAAGTGGCGAAGTGGTAGAACGGTTGCCCCTGGCAACGCGGCAATCGCAGATCAAGGCCTGGGAGGATGCCACTTCCAGGCGTGTTGGAGTTGATTCAGGTCGACCGTTGGGTTGTGAGGTTGGTTTTATTGTACATGTTTGCTCGATATGTGCCAAAGAAGCTGATGTTTGTTTGCAGTAGAGGTCGGATTAAACCCCTCCTGAAGGTCTACAAGGTTCTGGAACTGAATATCCTGGGAAGGAAATACCTGAATAGTCTGAATAGTCTTGGAATCTGGGTGGCTTCAGCTCCCCAATCGTGTGTGGTACGGTGACAAGAAATATCACGTTATTGTTGTCTGGACTATGACTATGGGAGTTTGACTAACCGGATTAAATCTATACCATGCGCGTTACTTGTTCATGGATGTTTGTTCACAGAAAAAGAGAGTTGATCGTTTTTGCCTCAGAAGGGCATCACCCCAGACCAGCACCTTATGTGATCCCGTTTTCTCGCCGTTGTGATCCTCGGCGACGAGACAATCCGTGATGGATAAGACTTTCGGAGGCCTCAAACAGCCAGTGGGGTCACCATCCAGGAGTGGAGTGATGTTTGACGCTATATTGTCCCAACTGCTTCAGTCTCTCACGACGTGTTGTGTTATGTTATGTGTGTTCATTTGTTGAACTCTCTATGTTGATGTTTGGTCCAGTTCCATTGACACGCAAAACCAACTGTCACACGGCGTTTCAAGGCAAAGACTAACCTTCATCATCTCAGTGCTGATGGGATTACGTCTGTGATTCACCAAGTTCTGCCCACACACCGCCCAAGCTGCATAGCT